GCCCGCGCCCACGCCCGCGCCCGCACCCGCGCCCGCACCCACGCCAACGCCCGCGCCCACGCCCGCGCCCGCGCCGCCCGACCCCGAGCTCAACGCCGTGGTCCAGTCCGTGGTCAACGACCTCATCCACAACGCCGTCTTCTCCGCCTCGCTGCAGCGCGAGAAGCGCAAGGTCCAGGGCCTGATCAACAGCCTGGTGTCGCGCGTGCGCGACGCGTCCGCGCTGGACGCCGCGAGCAACGGCGCGCCGCCACCGCCCGCCGCACCGGAAGCTCCCCTGAAGAAGGAGGCCGCTCCCCGCCCGCCGCAGGGCGTGCCCCTCGGCGACCACCGCCCGCGCCACGTCGGCCGCCTCCCTTTCACTTGGGCCCAGACCATGGACGCCGTCACCGTCAACGTTCCCGTGCCCGCGTGGGTGCGCAAGCAGCACGTCGCCGTCCGCTTCTTGACGGGCGCCGTGCACGTCGTCGTGCGTGGCCCGGGCGCGGATCAGCCCGTCGTGGATATTCAGGAGCCGCTCGTCGCGCCAGTCGAGACGGCCGCCTGCGCGTGGATGCTGCAGGACGCGAAGGAGGGCAGGCAGCTCACGTTCGAGCTCGAGAAGGTGCGCGAGCAGTGGTGGGCTAGGCTGTTTATGAGCGATGACCCCGCGCTGTATACCGTTGTTGACGCTACGGCGCGCGCTTCGACGGGTGGCGCGGCGGAGGTGAAGGCGGACGATGCGGACGCCGCGGAGGAACAGGCTGACGAGGAGGTGGATGTGACAGTTGCAGCAAGCGCAGGCCTGCGTGGCGAGCGCGCTGCAAATGGGGTAAAGGGAAGTGACAAGTGCGTGGACACGGACAGTGAGGAGACAAGTGAGGATGAAACATTGGAGGAAGCTGTTGCTGGCGTAGTGAGCGACGTGATTGACTCTGTAGCGGGCAGCGACTCGGAAGGCGAGGGTTCGGGGTCGTCCACGGGCCCCGTCGCGCAGCCATCAGACGTGGGGCGGCAAGCGCCAAAGCGATTGCTGACGGAGGCTGACATCGTTAAACTAGTAGAGCAATGCCAGGAGCAGTTCGAAAAGGGAGGGCCGGGGTCAGCAGAGGCGGCAGTACAACTGGGGACGTTTTACAATCACGGGGTGGGGGTAGCAAAGAACGAAGCGGAGGCAGCACGACTATACAAGCACGGGCTGCAAAACGGGGCGCTCGATTCGTCGGCGGCGTTCCAACTCGGGATAATCTACACACACGGAGCGGCAGGCATCGAGGCGGACGCGGCGGAGGCGGTGCACTGGTGGCGGTTGGCGGCGACTCTCGGGAACTCGGCGGCGATGTTCAACCTCGGCGTGATGGCGATGAACGGGACCGGATGCGACATGGACCCGATTGCGGCATTGCGCTGGTGGCGCGAGGCAACAGCGCTCAACCCCTCCCTCAAGCCGCCGTTGCTGTCCAAGGCGCAAGTGGAAGAGCGAGTAGCGCTCGCCGCCAAGCAAAAGAAGGAGCGGTTAAAAGCGGCCATGTCCCCCGAGGAGAAGCAGCGGCGGCGCGAGGAGGCGCTGCAGAAGGCGCGCACGGTCGTGCAAACCGTCACATGCCTTGCGGCGGTCGTCACGTCCGCGGTAGTAATACGGTACTGGTGGCGCAACCGGCTGTAGACGCGGCGGGTGCATGCACCCCCGGACGACGAAGGGTGCGTAGAAGAAACAGGGCGTGCGGTTTGACGACAAGGCCGCAGGGTGCACACGTATAAACATGCAAGCACACACTTTACAGAGGGCGCTCAGTGCGCCGGCACATGCGCCGACGAGCTCTTTCCCAGCAGCCACTGACCACCAGCCGTGACCGGCATGTACGGGTTGGGGTACATCGCTGCCTTCTTCCGGCTCGTCTCCGTCGCGGTCTTCCGCGGCTTCTCCCTGACGGCCTCCTTCTCTGGCGCGGCGCCCGCGCCGTCCTTGTACACGCGCGCGTGCCTGGCGAACGAGACGCTGCGGCCGTACGCGCGCGCGTCGGCGTCGGACATGGAGGACGCGACGGTCGACGACGAGCGCGGCTCACGCGCCGCGTCGGCCTTCCGCTGCTTGGCCTCCAGGCGCGTGGCAGTCTGGCTCGGGTCGGCGCTCGGCCGCAGGTTGGTCCGGTTCGCCAGCGTGTTCGTACGCGTGGAGCGCGACAGACCCTTCTCCGCGTCCTCCGCGTAGCTCGACACGTGCGGAGAGGTTCGCAGCCACGTCACGAAGACGGCCTGGCGCGTGCGCAGGGGCGCGCCGCGGGCTCGCTTGGGGGATGGCATCGCGGTGCGCGGGGGGAGTGGGTGTTGGCGCAGCGGGGTTGGTGGTGCGCGGATTTGGTGGGGAATGTGGGTGGGCGCTAGCAGGTGGGAGGGGGTCTGGGTAGTGGGAGGCTGGTGAGGGAAAGTTTAAGACGGGAAGTTGATGCCGTGGAGTTGAGGACGGGATTGATGCGAAGCGAAGCGGACAAGAAGGCATCTCCCATAAGGGCAGCAATGGCGACGGCAAACGATGGGCGGCACGCGTGTGCGCGCCTGTAGCCCATCGGCGTGGCACGTTGCAGGAGCGGGCGATGTGTGAATGTGGGAGGTGTCCGCGACAGCAGGAGCACGTTCCACGGAGCGGCGGGCGGGGGGGCGCAGGCGGCGCGCGCGGCGCGCCGGTTGGGAGGCGCACGCCCCATTGGCCGCGGTGGTGGGGCGATCCGCCGCCTCAGGGAATATCCCCCGCCCGTGCCGGCCCGCTGGCGCAAGACGCGGGCCGGCGCGCCCCGCTAGCGCCGCTTTCGAAGGAGCATTGCGCAACACGCGCTGCGCAAACGGCGCGCGTTTTCGCCCAGCCGTGTGCAAGGCGCCAGAAACGAGACGCGAGTGAATTCCTCTGTTGGGAGAGGGCTCAGGGCGAGGCTGCGCGGAACCGCAGCACGTGCAGGGGCGATGGAAACCGCGAGAAACTAAAAACCAGCCTGTTAAGACACGCCCTGAGGGCGTGTACCCTGAGGGTGTGTCTTAACATGCCCCGTTTTTGAGGCGGTAGCCCCGTTTCTACCCCTCGTTGCGGCCGTGTCGCATATGCTCGGGTTGCGCTGCATTTCTCTATCGCAATGTGACTGACGGCTCCCACTTCAATTAGAGTCAGGGCAAGCCCTGCTGTACCGTGCCGTCATGGGCACCTACAGTATTTCCGATAGGACAATCAACGTGAACGTTAGTGTTCACGTTGATTGTCATTTTAGTGTGAAGACGTAAATTTACTCCTTTGCGGGTCCACAAAGGCTTGGAACTTAGGACACCGAGGCGTCTCTAAATAAATCATTTCATTTCATTGAGAACCGTGCTATCAAATGATTGAGCTCTTCTATTCGGACACGCCCCTCCATCCCCTATTCTCCGCGATTTCCTTTTGCTTTTATCCCTTTTCTACAGCCGCTTGCTTTCTCCTACTGCACACTAATATATATATTGTACAAGCGTGCTGTACTATACAGGGGGGTACCCTATTTAGTGCTACCCCGTGTAGCGTGATAAAATAGGCACTAAATCGGGTTTGGCACAAGAACGGTAACTTAACAAGAAGACTTGAATATAGTATTTAACTAAGGAAACCCGTCAAGGTCGTCTGTTTCTGCTTCTTCTGTGGCTTGAGAGCCTCAAATATGATGCGTCTAGCCTTGCGCAAATGTGAAGACGCATCAGGTAGCTCTCTCGCTACTGCTGCCGCCTCTAATTTTGAGAACTCATTCGCTGCTTCGATCAAATAGAGAGAACGAGCCTGACTAGCATTAGAAATCTCCTCCATCACTGTATCTGTATGCTCAGCTTCAGTTCGCCCAGATCAAACACACCTAGACCCATCCATTTCCCCCATAATTCTCTCCACCTCTTCTAGAGCTTCTGTTTCCATGGCCTCTCTGACTTCACTTGAATCCTCTACCATAACCCAACCATTAAAATTACTTTCATTTAATGTAGCAATATCAGCGGCATCCCTTTGGTCAATAACATTGCTCACATTTGCATTTTTTGCCTGGAGAGATAGGCCCGACATATCTTTTAAAACAGATTCCATGGCGTCCTTCGGGAACACGTTCTTGTCTTTTGTGACCAAGTTTCGAAGCTCAGCTTGCTGTGGTGGAGCAAGTACCGCCGCTTTCACCCAACATCTAGCCAAAGAATCAACATCGGTACTGGCCCATATATCATTACGCGTTTCAGCTGCATCAAGAATATGAGGAGAGTAGCCCTCCATAACTCCTTTAGTTCCATTCTTCCAACTTTTAAAGGCCTGTCGCATATCAGCTCTCACTTCTAATAAATCCACAATTTTCTTGAGCATTCCATACAGATAGCGAATCTTAACTGACGCAATAACGCCGCAGTCCATTGGTTGGTGGACAGAAGTACAGTTAGGTGGTAAGAACACAACTCTCACCTGACCTCTTGGGTCCTGTAAAAAAGATCCATGCGAGCTAGCATTATCCATAATCAGTGCCACCTTCTTTGTTGTCTTATTTCTTACTTGTGGTAGAAAAAGCTGATGAAACCACTTATGACAAGTCAACCCGTCGTTCCAGGCCTTTTTTGAGAGAAGTATTGTAAGGGACAACTACGGATGCCAAACGCCCTTGGATGTTTAGCACTTCCTATCAAAGAGATGGGAAGCGCATGCGTGCCAGTGGCATTTGTGCAAAACATCATGGTGATTCTATCCTTTGCCTTCATCTCCTTTTTTCCGCGTACTGTAGAATTCTCGTCCTTAAAAACGTATGAATTACGTGGAAGCAATCTGTAAAAGAGACCGGTTTCATCCATATTACAGATTGCGTCCAAATCAAATGCAAGTAGAACACTTTTCATCTCAGCAATTCCCTTTTTTATTGCCGATTGATCGACACTTCCAACTTCTCCATGCAGAGTCACACTACGCAAATCGTTCCTTTTGACAAAATTTTGAACCCAGTGGTGCGATGCCGAAAAAGATTCTAGTCTTTTTCTCTTGATCTCATCCTGTATGTCTTCTTTTAGCTTGTCCCGAATTGAAAGAGAACGTACATGAATTACTTCTCTGGTTATTGATAAACCTGCAGTTCGAGCAGCAGAAGTAAACGACAAAAGCCAACGTTCTATTTGCGAGAACTGTGGGCCTTTCATTGACTTTTTAGAACCACCGCTTAAATTCTGCATTGAGATCAGTTTGCGCTCTTCCGCCTTAATTTTTGTGCACAGACGACGGCTGATGCTATAAGTTTTCATTATTGCAACACGCGACACTCCCTTTTTTATGAGGCCTGCAATCTCAATCTTAGTGGAGGTGTCTAAACGCGTTCGTTTACCTGCGCGTTTTTGGGTTGGAGTTTTGGAAGTTTGAGCAAGAAGAGCTTGTAGAGATCTTTTCTTTTGTGTGTTGTTCGTAGGGGAAGAGACCCTTGATGGTAGGCCGGGACCAGTACGGTCTGACAGGGCAATGGGTGAACTTTTGGATTTGCAGCTAGAGCAAACCCTTCCTGAATTCACCTCGTTTTCCCCGGCTGGGAAGCCGCACCATGCGTGCATATTTTCTTTGCATTCCACACAGGCATGATATTTTCCAATTGCGTCTTGTCCATTGCAATTATTTCTTTCCATTGGGAGAGAACTCGGTCGTTGGAAGACATGATGTTTCACTAACACAGCCTTGGATGTTGGGTTTGAAGCTCCGGATGTTTACTAAGGTTAGAGATATTTAGAACGAGGCTATACAATAAAGGAGAAACGTGTTGGGCAGCAATCGTGCCTGAACAACAAATCGTTGTGGGCTGCAAAAAACACAGTGCTATAGAGCCATAATAGTTGTTCAACGGCTCAAAGTTGGAGTGCGAGCAACGCATTTGTGCCTATCGGAACTGTAACGGACACAGAAAATCTACCACTTTTCATATCTTAGTACCAAGCAGAGTGGTGCCCTGTAGCCCGCTGGATGGCTTTTGGTGTAGAGCCGTTAGAGTAGCACTAAACCGGGACATACACTATACATAGAGGCACTAAATCGAGTACCCCCCTGTACCTTATTGCTCGCACACGTATCCGGGGGACGCATTCACCAAGCCACCTAAATTTACTCGCTTGCCCGACGCCTTTTTCTACACTGACTGCCAGACATTATGTCCCACATGTTGCCGTGTGCATTGTCCAGTCTATATTCAATTACCGTAGAAATTCAGAGCGGCCAAGGGGCTTGGACAAAAGAGGACCAGGTGCTGTAATGGAAACAGGGCAGGAGTGTGGAGTCTTACCGTAGAGCCTCTCTCCCAAGAATTGGCTTCAGAGTGCGGGGCATCGAAAACAGGGTTTGCTCAAGTTGCACTTGAAACTGTGGCAGAATTGAACAATGCCTCATAGATGACCTGCATGCATACAGTATATGGGTTCCGACTCGGCGAGCCCAACTCTCCATTCGATAATCCCGTTTATTCACAACCCGGGTATGCAATTATCTACAAGATTGGGCCTATGGGCCTCAGTGTGAACGAAACATGATGTAGATGTCGGACAGGGAATAGGATCCATACATCTGAACCTTAAAGTACCGAATACATCTATTTAACAAGTGCCTATTTTATATTTTTGTCGCAAACCGAGTTATGCACAAAGATGCCACATGCTTTCCCAACTTGCTCAAATCATAACCACAAAGGATACCAGACACATCCAAACAACTAGAGAGTCCCCTTGATGGACGTTGGTTGGCCATATTACAAGTATTTACATCTTCCGGTTCGGA